CCTGAGAGAGAGGAGATAATAACCTGGGAGAAGCCCCCTTGCTGCTACAAGCTGTAACAGCTCTCTCTGCCTAAGATTGATGAGGACTGCTTGCCCCATGGCTTTCAGCCAGCAGAACCACAGCTCACATGAGCTGCCTGCTCCCTGCATCCAACAACATCAGGTCCCTGAGATGCATCAGGGAGGCTGTAGGCAACCGCATTCAGAAAGCAGAAGGATATTTCTCAAGCTCCTTCATTTCAAAAAGATTGTTTTGTATTCTTTCTTTACTTGTTAATGCGTTTATTTATCTTGTATTCCATTAAGAACTTTATACCTATCCTAAGTTACACCTCCTTGGCAAATGTAAACACCGAAAACAAGGAATACAAACATGGCAACATGACTGCAAGTCCATACTGCACTGTGCAGTTCTGAAAAATTGATCCAGTCTATAATATTGTGTACATCTATCAATCAGCTCTCAAGGAAGGGCTTCATTTCCAGTTCTATTTTGGAGGTTAAACAGAAGGAGAAGGAAATATTTTCTTCTGAAAGAACACGTATCATTCTTTCTAACTGCCTATTTCTAGGAAACAACGGCTTTGTCCTCATCGCTCTCCCCTCCTCAAAAAGCTATTAAGCCCGAGTGAAAGAAAAGGAAGCAAAGGTAAAGCTCTTAGTGAGAGGGAATGAGTGTTCAAAATCTCATCTCCCCTTTTCTCAGCACACAGCCATCCAATGATTACAACTGAGTTAAAGCAATAGCTATTGGACAACACTGAACTAGATGATTAAAACCGAGCGAAGAGTTCAAGTAATTATTAGCCCGATTCAAACACCAGGGAATGGAGCACTGCATTCCCTACATCATTTTGACTACAAAGGAATAAAGAAATGTTAGCAGCATCTTCAGGCACCCCACAACCACAAAGCCAGTTTCTTTTGTTCAGTAATCTCATAGCCTTCACAAATGGTTCACATACACACACATACCACCCTGTGGTGGTCCAGGGTTGAAAAGAGCAACATTAGCACACACCTGATCAAATCTACACTTAACTTCTCATGGTGCGGCACACATCAATACTGCAGACAATCCAGTTGTGTAAAAAGGTAGAGAGAGAGCATGAAGCCTGAGGAAAGCCCTCCCCATCACAGCTTTCCTGATGCTGCTGCCAGTGCCAACAAGAGATGCTGTCCTGTTCACGACGTGGAAGGAACTTGGAGGACCTTGATTAATGCATATTACTGAGGCAGATGAATTCAAATCTACTCAGCAACTTTTGCAACCAGGATGAGCCTGATGAATAGTTGTGAGGCACAGAAATTCCTATCTGAACTTCTGCGTACTATAAAAAATATCTTAGCTGTGAAATCTAAAAGGCATTTACTTCTGACCATAGATGAGCTTCTCTCCTAAATGACTACAAGTGAGAGGCCGGGCTGGGATCTTCCAGCTGCTCCCAGGCAAAAGAAGATAACTACAACAGTGCTACTTTTCTTATCAGTACCCCAGCCCAGGGGTCTGAGTACCACTATGGCAATAGTTGCTATATTATCCTGTGATGGCAATGATATTATGATACATTTAATGAGTACATTTCATATCAATATCCTAGGGTACAGAATTATACATGTACTGAGAATGAAAATAATAATAATTAAAAAAAAAAAAAAGTTTCAAGACTCTTTTTCCTATCCCCTGTCCCAAAAGATGCTTTCTATGAAGTGAAAGACCATGGAGTTTATGGTCACAGATATTTTGTTTTAATGCATAATTATTTCTCGTTATTTGTTGTTTTGACAGGCATCGCACCAGAAAAGAATCAAAGAAAAAAACAGCAAGCAACTCTGGGAAAAAAAATCCCCCTCTCCCTCTGGCATCACTGAAAGTATCAGCTTCATGTCTGAAAACCTCAAGAAAAAAGTGACTGATAAACAGATGAGCTGTCCCAAATATCAAAAGGATGACAGAAAGCCACTCAGCTAGGGAACAGACTGTCTTACATCTGTGTTGAGTAATCAAACACTTTAAAAATCAACAAAGACAAAACTGAAGAGAAAAAGAACATATCCTAAGAGGTCTGTAGAGGGGCTTTGTTGCATACTGCAACTCCTGTTGTGGTGGAATAGAACAGAGCTCACAAAAATCATCAGGTAGCAACAAGATAATCTCAAGGGACTTGCTGGAGAGCCAAAACTACCAAAAAAAAAAAAAAAAAATTTTGGTTAATGAAAAATAAGTTACAAATTTCTACCATTAATTAATTTGGGCACTCAAACTGCCTGAAATGGATCAGAAAATAAACTGCAAACAACTTGCCATACAAACACATACACAGTTTAAAATGTTATTCACACTTCTACATGAAGCGACAGGTTTTCTGGAAGGACATTGAAGTGTATCATTAATACCGATCGTAAGCGTTCAGATTCTGGCCAATTTCATAGTATTCTAAACACTCTTTACACAAGCAAAATATGAATTTATTTCAGAATACGAATAACTGCCGTGCGGCTCTTAAAAGAAAATTACAAACAAGAAGCATTCCATCTGTATGTGACCAGGATAGCAAGATGTAGAAGCTCTAGGTTTTTTGAATCCTGCCCTACACAAAATTGCTGTATGAGCAACTGTGAAAGTTAAGAAACAGACAGAGCTATTTCCACAGGAGCACCAAAGGATGGTAAGGTGTGCAGAAGGAAATGATGGGTTTTTCAGGCTTTACAATTATGATTCTGAACTGCAAAGAGAAGAATAAATTTACTGTCACTTATACAAGCCATGCAACAGAATCAGGTACAGAAAGGTATCAGCACAGACAGCGAACAGCTCTACAGTGGCAGTTCCCATGCTTTCACAGTACTACAAAGGTAAAGTCCACACAGTCATGTATGACAACTGAGGGGGCTGGTTTGTGTTTAATATCACTGATTTATTTGTTGAAAGAAGTATCTGCCGTTCCAATTTCAAGTGCTGAAGTAGTAAATGTATTTCAAATAAAATTTCCTCATTCCGTATCTACTAAATTATGCAACATCAAGAAACGTAAATCACTTTCTCATTACTGTAATAAAATATCTTATGGCTAAGGGAAGCAAACAGATCTTTACATGAGAAAGATATACAGATAGTTTTTTCAACCTTGACCTTTGTTGAAAAAATCCCACATGATTTTATGTTCAGCTAACTGGGAGAAAGCATGTGAGGCAGAGTATTAGCCTGGATTTAGTAGGTTTAGGGACAGGGCTGTCAATTGAGCAGAACTTCAATTACAGACTAATTTAATGTATACCCAAGTACATTACTGCAATTCAATAAACATCTCTTCAGAATTAAACAATTCCAATTCGCTTTCATTTCAGCCTGTATATATGCGTTATGAATTTGCTATTATCCACACTAAAATTAGCCAGGCTAGAAGTATTCATCCATGCAATCCCAGTGTTTCACAGTGCTGCATCAAGCTAACCTCAAATGAACCACTTCACTTTGCCTGCATACTATACAGAAGCACGGAGTAGAGGAGTGTGCCTTCCCATAACAATAGTACTCTCCTCAAGCTTTTCTGGCTAGGTGCCTGCCTGGGTAATTCAGCAGTGAGTCTATCAGTGTCCCTCATGGTGGATGTCCAGCCATTCATATTTACAGCTCACTCTTCTATTTTTCTCCTCCTCATGTTGTTAAACATGAAAGTGTCAGGCACATGCCCAACTTTGCATATTCTGATACTGGTTGCTCTGGAAGACTGCCTTCCCTCTACTTAACAATCATATGGCACTAATATGCCACTCTTGGCAACTCAGTTTCATTTTACTCATGAGTTAACTCCTCCAACAAGTAAGATACTAGATAATTTGGCAGGAATTAAAAGCACTTAGCACCTAATCTGAACATTCTCTTCATAATCAGTGTAGTCTGAATATCTACAACATTGGATATTTAAGGCTCTGCAAAGGTACTAGCATTAAGTGATAGAAAAAGTTGGTAAAAAAGTACTACAGTAGAAGAAAGTGATCTCATTTCTCCAACAGTCCTCCATTTCTGTAAAAAAAATGAAAACATTTCGAGCAATAAAATTACATTCCGTGAGAAGATCCATACTACAAATTCCTTCCACCCACATCATTACCACCTTCAATAGAGACCGAAACAGCCTCAAGGGAGACAGTCACCCTTTCTTCTCCCACAATGCAGTGAGCATCCCTGTGGTGCAGCTTGGGTAACATTAATAAAGCAGCATAGTAAATAGCATTTCACTCCGTGCATCATGGATGATCTTAAGCAAATACCACCTTGCATGTGTCAGACACAGCATCACCTCCTGAATCACAGTGAATAAGAGAGCTGAAACCTCCAGCTTCCATCAAGAGCTACTGATATCCCTACTGTGTGCTTCAGGACATCAGCAGAATCACAGAATGGCCCAGGTTGGAAGGGACCTGAAGGATCATGAAGCTCCAACCCCCTGCTACACGCAGGGCCACCAACCTCCCCATTTAATACCAGCCCAGGCTGCCCAGGGCCCCATCCAACCTGGCCTTGAACACCTCCAGGGATGGACGGGGCATCCACAGCCTCTCTGGGCAGCTGTTCCAGCACCTCACCACTCTCATAGGAAAGAATTTAATCATTCCAGATCATCTACGCCCAACAGCCCTGAGCAGACTCTTCTGACATGCAACACTATTACAGAATTATTTATGTCCAATGAAATGTAAAGTAAACCAGATGAAGCTGACTGACAGCTAAACTGTTGTGCTGACTGCATTAAAAATATCCATAGCTACCATGCATTACTTCAAGAGCTCATGAAGAGGGCTGTATTCAGATGAAGCTTTGATTCAAATAATTGTTTTAAAAAATGATTGAAATTCATGTCACTTACACCCATTTCTCCTACTTGAATCTAATACGATTGAAAGAGAAAAGCCCAACAGGGGGTCAAATTTTATACACAGTTGACATGGGAGGAAATGTTCATCTAAAACAAACTTGCTGTTTTAATACAACCTACCTTTCACTATTAATTCTGCATAATTGGAAACTCCAGATCCACCATCTGAACGAATGACACAGCGGTATTTGCTGATGCTGCGCTGCGAGGTGTCAGCAACGCTGACCGTAGCAGAGAAACGCCTGTGGTTGACGACTCGAGTGACCATTAATGCTGTGTCCCTCCCATTCCACTGCTGTGAAGACAGATGAAAACGACACAGGTCACGAAGGCATACAAATTATTCATTCTTTGTTACTCTTCAAATTGCTCAGCCCTTCACTAGGTTAGATTTCGTACAAGCACCATTTTTCAGGAAAAAGACAGCTCGTAATGTCCCTGAAAAATTTACAGGCACGCTGGGTTTTATAAACTAGTGGGCTTAAATGTTCTTATATATTTGTTTAAGTTTTTGTATCTACTTAAATTCTGATATGTTTTTGTGCATTTGATGTGTTATGCATACTGAAAAGGCTGGAGACTGACAGCTCAGAATATCTGTACAGGGTATATCCAGAAGCTAAGCTAAGACATGAAAATACTACAAATGAATGCATTTTGCACTCCTGTGGAAATGCTATAAATGAACAGATTTTATAAACCTGTCATTTTCAGGCATAAAACTTTGTTTCCAGAAAAATTTAAATATCTTGATCTGTCCAGCACTCCTCAATAAACCTCTCTCCACCAATGCCAGGCAACATTTTCCCAACTGGAAAACTGACAGGTGATGGATTAACTAGAAATCAGCATAAACACCTGAACTTGCTCAGTTGGTCTATTTTATTAGGAGGCTCAAAGGAAAACACAGAGCCATTCTGCCAGTTTCCAGTAATCAATTTTGGGAGGTACTTCCAAGGCTATTTTCATTAAATCTTTCCATTTAAAAGAATGGAAAACAGGCTGCCACTAAGAATGATGATTTCCTCCCAAATCCTTTCTTCTCTTGGAAAAAAGTTTACAGTGCTTCAGATCAGAAGTGTTTTCTCACACATCTAATCCTTCCATGGAAATCCTTGACAGAAAGAACTCAAAAATGATATAGAATAAGATATAGAATAAGCCAAAATATATTTCTATTAATGCTAGAAGTACAACGTAGGCCAATAACTTTCAGATTAGAAGGTAAATTTTTGGATAACAGCTTTGATAAAGTACAAGCAATAACTTTGTCCTTCACTGGGAAACCGCACTCCACCCTTGCAGTTTGCTAAGTGCTCCATTTCTAATTCCAGAACTGAAAATCAGTTAAGTTTGTTATGTATGAATAGCAAAAAACAGTCTTTGAACAACCAGTAGGATGAAAATAGACACGAAGAGAATGAACTCCTTGGTCATTTAGTGAGGAACAATCCGCTATCAATGCAGCCAAAGGAAACCGGGAGGAAGAAATAAATCAGTACAAACAACTTTTGTCTTTTGTTTAACATATCTTAGGTAGTGTTTTCATCTCAACACACTTTCCCCAGCCTTTGTCAACAATATTTTTGGGGGGCAAAAGGAAAGAAGACCAAAAATTAAGCAGAAGGGAGGCATTATTTCACCTGTTCTGTCTATTTTATGAATGAGTGCTTACAGGTGTGCAGACCTACGTTTGGAACTGACATTTTGCTGTAACTGCCCACCTTTTCCATCTTCTGTAGCACAATTCTGCATTTTATCATCTTGAACTCTGATCTGGAAACAATTTAAGGCAGTTCTCAAAGGATTTTGATGATAAGCATTTGCCCCACCACCCAGTTGTCCTCTGTCTACTTATTTTACCCGAAAAAAATTGCATCACTTTACCTGGAGCCAGAGTTTGTCATGCTGGGACCACTTTCCCCCAGCAATGCACTGGAAAGTCGCGTTCTGTCCCACATTAACCTCCACATTCTGAAGCCGTAAGAAATGAGGTGCTTTTCCTAACAAGAGATGCAAAGAATAGGAGGGGTAGAGCAAGGCAGCAATTACACCAACACAGATATCAGCACCTAGCAAATCATCCTATTCCTCACAAAGTGATTTAGCAAAATAAAACTGTCCTTCAGCATTGAACCATTCGCTGCAGAGCAAGGTGATCTTATAGAGAAAAGGCCAAACCAATACAAACCTCCAGCACACCTGAACACATACACTTACTATTAGATCACAACACCAAAACAATTTGTTATTCCCTTCTATAAAGAGTAACTGAGTACACTTTTTTCTTTAGAAAACTCTGATTCTACAAAGGGCAAAATAAAATCAAATGTTTGAGGTTGCCAAGCACTACTGGCCAAAACAAATTCTTGTAAAGAATTTTCTCCTTTTAATTTCATTGACTATCAAATACTTCCTGCAACTGTGGAATATCAATGCCACTGATATCAAATCATTGATATTAAATGAAATATTGATATTACTGGTAAGTGTTGTATCGCTGTGTTGGTTAACAACACCAACATCTGTTTTTTGCTGACAATAAATTCAGTATTAGTTCAATACTAAATGAATCATCAAAATGCTAATATCACCAATATATTTGGTGACAGCAGAGAAAGATCTCCTGATTATCTTTTTGACTAAGTATCATTTGTTTACCTCTGCAAAAAAAATTATAAGAAAGTAATTTTAAAAATAGTAGTGAATCTGGCACTTCAAAATGAGCCTTGTGCTTCAGAAAAAAGTTTGTGCGCCAACCAAATACTCGTAGTAGGACACACAGCAGCCCTGTAATGCAGTAAAGGCCAGCATTTTTCAACTTCATCTTTACATTTTTGAGTATAAATAGCCAAAGAACTACATATTTTCAGAGCACATAGTAGCCTACATTTCTCTATTGGAATTAAATAGCTTCAGAAGGCTGTAGGCATGTGCGTGCAGAAAGCTTAGCAAATACATGGTTGTCTACTACAGGCACATGAACAGAGGACATCTGCCTATATGCTATGTCAGAGGTTTTTAATCTACGTCCTGTGCCACACTGTCCACATGCCCAGTTTGCTGACAACTCTAGCAAACAGACTGCTGAAGTGCAGTGATTCTGTACTATGGTGCTTTCTGGGGGTCAGTACTGTGTGTCAAAGCCAACTGGAAAACCACCTTTGGGTGAGAGGCAGCGAGTCCTACGTGCTAGGAGTGAATTCTGCCTGCATGCAGATATGAACGAGCTCCAAAACAGAACCCAGATACATGCAGCCACACCAGCCCCAAACCCCAGAGCTCAGCTCTGCCCATCTTCCATGGCACTGCACTGTCCTACAGCTGCAAACGCTTGTGCATACACAGCCAGCGAGCCTTTTGCACAGCGGAAACTGATTCTCTGTGCATTCCTTCACAGGATTAAAAAGGCAATACTATCTAGACCTCTGTGTTTTCACATCACTGTGTCATCAGGGGTATTTCCCAGATTAATAAAAAAACAAACAAAACAAAACAAAAAACAGCTGCTAGTTAAGATTGTCTGCTATACTACGATTTGTGTAGATGAGGGAGAAATTAAAAAATAACACCGATAATTTTGAGTGACGTTCAGGCTCAATCAGAAGCTTCCTCTTCCTGTGCTTTGAGTTTTAACAATTGTAAAATGAACCCAAGGGGCAAAGTAAATCTGTACAATGTCACTGCTGACATCTACCCTGGTGGCTGTCAGTGCTGAACAGCAAAGACAACATTGAGAATCAGACAGAAGTATTTACAATAAGACTACAGACAACTTGTAGCTCATAGGGACCTGTGCACGCTGCAGGTTGCCAACTGATTCTAAATGCACTGGGTATAGTTTGAGTCATTTCAGCTTTGGGTCACCAAGATCTCACTGAATTTTAAAGAGGGACCTGCATGTACTTGGAGACACAGATTTAAACATCAGTTTTAATACTTCACTAAGTATGGCTTGGGGTTGGTATATATTTTTTAATCCTATAACCTTCTTGTCTTTGCCTCACAGTTGGTTTTGTGGCCTCTTTCCCAATAAAGGGATCAGTCATCACCAAACATGCTGTGGAATGCATGCACATCATTTGGGGGATTTGTTTGGAGGCTGCCAGTTATCAGCAACATCTGGTCAACACAGATTGTAAGTATTTCTTAATGAAGTAAATACACCCAAAGGCCTGAGCAACGAGCACATGGTAAATACAAATATAATTTAGTTAAACTGCAATTAACCATACTGCAGTTATCAGAAATGTCCTGTTAAACTTGAGCACAGCCATGTTCCTCACATCCAATGGTTGCTGTTCTTTCAAATAAAATGGGTGAATCTCATCCCATTGATATGTCCCACAGAATTTTGTTGTGAAGAGCTGCTGCTCGTTTACTGAAACTAGGAACCAGTGAAAGGAGCTGTTAAAGCTCTGACCTGGCAGGGTGGTGGGCTACCTTCCCAAATGACATCAGGCTACCTGGAAATACTGCAGCATCAAAATAATAAACAGATGTAAATGTAATAAACCAAAGTACCACCCAAAAGTGCAACTTAATATGCTACATAACAACTAATAATTCAAGCATTAAAATACATAAATTTATTACAGAATTACTTTTAGAAAAATAACATATTTGAAGGAGATATGTCCGAACTCATTAATGAACATGAAAGCTGTTAAAAATCTGTAGAAGTCTGTATGCTCCATACAGGGATACAAAAGTTCTCAAGCCTGTCTGTGGTTGCACAGAAAAACCCAAGAAGTCCACGCACAAATGTAGAGGCTTAAGGTGTCTCTAAGCAGAAAAAAGGTAAGCTGGGCATAGTGCAGCTAAGGTAGAAGAAACAAAACAAGTATTTTTGAGCAGTGTAATGAACCTGCATTAGTTTTCATGTCTGTGCAAGTCTAAATGAGATTTATTTTTTAAATAACTCATGCAGAATCTGAGTGGGTTTAACATTTCTTTTGAGAGATACCTTTGGGATATGTCCTTTATCAAGGAAATATCGGACCAATTTGTCTTCTTTTCTTAAGTTAACCTCACAGGACGTTATCAGAAACATTTAAATCTTCTCCTTTTTGTACAGCAGTACAATTCCAAAACAACAAAACAGAGTTTTATATTCTCGTGACCCTTCTACAAAGAGAAACTTCCACAAACATCCTGGCACAAGTGTCAGCCTCAGAGCCCTTTTGCACAAATTGTCAAGTTATTTAATTGCACAAGGCTGACAGTCTTTAGTTGCTTTGGGGGACACCAAAACAGAAGAGATTTTAGAGTTGGCTGAATTGGGTAACTCACAGCCTTAGAATGCAAAGCCTGGTATGAAGACTGCAAAGCTTAGTATATAACACATTGAGGTGGTTAGAAAAACAAAGAATGCTCACTGCATGGATGGGCAAGAACTCTGACTTCATCCACAGCTATGTACCCTGGATGTCCTTTCACAGAGACAGATTCAAATATCACCTGAAATACAAAGAAAAGGTTTTCTTAAAAAGAAAGACTGCACTAGTCATTTGGCCAGTCACCACATTCCACTCTTTTTCCAATGTCTGATACATTCAAGGCATTTTATCGTTGATAACAAAGGGGTACCTGTGCAGTACAGCATGAAAACGAATATCAAAGACTGAAAATCTATTTGATACAGAAAACAAAGTCAGAGCAACATTCATTAGGATTAGTGAGAACTATGTACAACTTCCATTTGGAAGAGCAAAGAAATACCCTATGCTTACACACACTCTGTATTCACTTTGCACCATTCTGAGAACATCAGATGTGGAATCATTTGGCATCTTATTCCAATTAGCATGCATCAGAAAGCTGTAGAATGCCACTCGTGAGATAATTTTATTTCATTAAATCAATAACACTGCATGGATTCTTTTGGAGAAAACCTTTTGCATTTTCACATGCATGCCATTGCAGTACCAGAAAGCAATAAATGAGCAAGAGATGACATGGATTCTAATCACTGGACTGAAATAATATTCTCCCAGAAATAACAGAGTTGATTCTGCCTTTCCCTGGATTGAACCAGAAGAGAATTTTTGAGTATGTAAAAATGTGATATTTCTCTATGTTAATGGTACACTACTTCGCCCTATTTTATTTATGTATTTAGACAGTGAAAGTGTCCCACTAATTTGAGACTGATTACACATATGTGTAATTACTTCTGATTTGAAGTGTCCTGTTAGTACAATACAAAGGCTACGTGCAGAGTTCGGGGCAAGCAAGGGGGCCCCAGAAGACTGATAAAATTCAAACTAATTTAACTATTACCAAATAAGCAAAATAAAATTCAGGAGAAAAATAGTATTAAATATTGTGAAGTTTACTCAAACAACAATTATAAGAAGCAGGGAATTTGACAATGTTGAGTTGGAAAGGAAAAAAGAAAAACACAGACTGGTCATTTGACACTGAATATGGTAATGTCAGCTCTCGAGTGAGTGATGCTCGTCTCAAAGGAAAGGCATGAAGTGCTATCCTTAACTCTGTGTGCAGAAATGAAATGAATGCTGTCCCCAGCATTTGAAAGAGATGCCCCTTTGTTTTCTCTTACTAATGTGTCAGCCACACTCTAACTTGGGGCTTTGAGCAACCTGCTCTAGTGGGAGGTGTCCCTGCCTATAGCAGGGAGTTGGAACCAGGTGATCTTTAAGGTCTCTTCCAATCCATTCTATGATCCTATGGTTTTTGCATGAGTTTGCAGCAATGTTTTCCAGGACAGAGCTGATTAATGTGTTCAGCTGGCACAGTTACTACTGTAGCAGCAGCATTCAAATGCAGCCATTCTTTTTGCAGGATAATTTGTGACTACCAAAATCATTACTGGAACACCACGAAGTTTCTTAACTATCTCAAGCCACTCTTCAACACTGCTGTTTCCACTTTAAATAAAAGCTGGCATTCCTAGCCTGTCACTGTTGAGCCTTTCCTTCATCTCCTCCATCAGAAGATTTAACACAACAACAGATTCAACTTTCTGAATGCTGATCACCACATGCTCAGGCTACAGAAATAAAGCAACATGTACTTCATAATCAGGTTGCCATTAATCATTTTGCTTTGTATTTGGGCTTCCTAATTTAGTTTCTACTTATATTCCCATGACATCTTAAGATCTGTTCCCTCAGTTCAAAGCATTCCAACTGGGAGCACTCCTGAAAGAAGCCCTTTAGAAAAACGCCATGATAAAAACAGGTAGAATACAAAAATTAAAGGGGAAAAGACGAACTAAGAAAAGCTCAGGTGCTAGCAATACAAAGAAACTGAAACTGAAAGAAAAGAGTTCTGCAGCAGATGAAGGTGGGCAAAAAATAGGTTGTCCAAGGGATAAGAGGAAGAAGCAAATATCTGGAAGATGATCAAACCATCAACAAATGTTTCCTGTGTTCAAGAGTTTCAGTACTTTCTAGAGACTGTATAAGCAAGGAATATAATGCATGTCCTTAGTAGTGGAATTACAAGATAAATGAAAAGTCATTCATGATAAAAATGGCACTTACTGGTAAGGTCACACAGCAACAACTGTGACTCCCTTCAGACTAGGATTAAACTGCGCCTTTATAGCTACCAAACCTTACTTTGGTTACGCATTAGTGAGAAGTTATAAGCTTTGCTGAGTTGCTACATCAATTTCCTGAAAGCCAAGAACTTGGAAAGAAAAATTCCCCACTTCTTTGCGGTAAAAACACACACATAGTGAACTGTCTTCTGTTAATTACTGACATGGCTCAATGTCTTTAATAGAGCACAAAATAACCTAAACCTAGAGTCACTAGCAGCTGCGTCAGCTCCTATGGATTAAATCCATGGATTTCATATTCACACTGTCGCCAAAATCACTGACAAGAGTGGAGGGGTCCCTCTCAATTCTGTTTTGTTTGGACAGGGTAATTTATTACCTGTTTCACTCTATACTCAGATCTCTTTATTTCTCAGTTCAGATCTTTACACTGTTACCCTTTTATGCAGTTTTGCACCACCTCAGCCCTGTCAAAGTGAGCAGAGCAGAAGCACCTGGGTTTTCTAAATACAGGGAACTGAGATCCAGCAGTGAGGAACAGGCAGAAACCCATGCTTACAGGTGGCACATTTTGGCAAATCTCACACTGAATTTCTTTTACGTCCTTTTAACTTCAGTTGAAAATGTAATGAAATGGTTGAGGAACAGGCGTTCAATACTTTACATTTTTGGAAGTTCTCAGAAATTAATGTAACTGGCAAATGCAAAGCTCTGCTCTTCAACATTCTTAAATGCTCCTGAGAACTGCAACTACCAAGTCACTTGTTTCCTCACCTATAAACAAGCCCACATTTCACTGCTGCTATCTACCAGCAAGGTCTGTGTTAGCGATGTAACCTGGCTCATCTGTTGCAGCACAACAGCTTTCCTCAGGCATGGATCAATACCATTTCTTGCTGTACATCAAAACACCCCTTCCTGGCAGACTGTAGTGCTACTCTTGGTGCATTCTGGGACTAAGTCCATCCTTATGGCATGCAGTAACTCAAGAGAACACGTCTTACCTTTCTCCAAGAGCTATTACAGCTTTTACTCACTACGCTAAAAACGCATGCAGACTGGGAATCAAGGCACGACTAACTCATGGGCAGAGCTGAAACACCTCCACTGCCCTCACGTGAATACCTCAGCAGAGTGCTTCAGGATGTGGGTGACTCATACAACCCTTGTGCAGAACTGCCAGACCCAAACCACGACCCTCTGGCAATAGGCCTGGCACTGGTTTGCCGCTACGCCCATCTCCAAAGCTCCAAGTACTTGTCAAAACCTCCCACCCAGGGCAAATGGCTTCAGACTTTTATGCCTGACAGAATTTTCAATGCATGCAGCAATTCCTGATGGTGCGATTGTCGTGCATTAAGAGAATAATCCACATTTTGCCTGACACCGATTTCATTATTTAGAAGAAATATTTTTTTTTTTTCTTTTTCCTGCGTTACCTTGCGCTTTTGAAATACGGAACATGCTTTCAGGCCTCTTGGGCACAAATTGTTCTCCGAGCGTGCAGTTTTGATTTAAAGCTGACAAATAACACTCTTACAAGCATAATCTAGACTGTGAGTGTAAAAGGAGACATTCCCTAGGCATTGGTACACACAAGCTTTTATCACCCTGCCACCTCTGGACTCCTTTAGCTACAAGGGTTACGATGTCAAAGAACAATAATGTTGATAAAACTCTGTGATTGTATCTCCTCCTCACTTTTGAGAGCTTAAGGTTTTCTTTCTTTTGTATTATTTCTTTTTCTTGTTTAGACTTAAACGTAGAGAGCCACCAGATTGCAGAAACTGATGTACAAAATTAGGGATCAATGACAGAACAGCCTATCAGATCCCCCACAACCTGTGGGAAAGACCCTCGCATTTTAAAAGCATACGTTAGAAGAAGGAAACTGGAACCTCATGCATCAAAAAGGTAAAGCTGAGGAGATGGAGAGAAAAAGAGAGAGAGTGTTTGCATTCTGTGGGCTGGAACCACTCCCAAGCAGTCACTGCTGCCTGTAGGCTCTTCGTTTTTGCGCGGCAGTGCAAAATTCTTCTTTGATTTAAAGGATTTTCTTTCTCAGGAAAAGCAAACCTGACCTCTAAAAAGACTTGCAAAAGATGTAATAAGGTTCAGGAAGTCTGGTATTGGTATATCTAACAGTTGGATCTCTTAGTTTGAGATCAGACTGTCTTTTCCAGGTTTTTCAAGCACTGATTATCTGGGTGAAAGATCATCTCTGTTATCTCTGTACAGCACCTACTACGAAGCAGATTCTGGTTGATGTTAATATGAAAGTAGTATTGATCACTTTAATATGATTTCAGAGCAAGTGACAAGTTGCGCACAGCCCTTAAAACACCACTTTCAGTGCATTTGCGTCTCTTCATCCCATTCACCCTGTACAGTGCGCTCTTATCTATTCTGCTGAAATCCTCTGCTCCTTTTCGGAGGCAGAACATTAAAGTGCTCTACTTTAGCCCAGATTCTATAGACCTACTACCCAGTTATTAAAAAGAAAAAAGCTTTTCTTCCTACTGTTTTCTATCCATAGAGCATTCACTGCCTTTTCATAGTTTCTTTTACTGTAATTCCCATCTCACTCATGCTTTTTTTTTTTTTTTTTAACTATAATATGTATTTCTCATTTTCCTGTAAGGAATAGGGTGCAATTACCTCCCAGGCACTTTTTTTTTTTCCTTGAATATAAAAAGATAAAAATTTGAAAATAAGAGTCCTCATGTCTTCACCGTTTAAGAAGAAGTATGTGAGCCCATTGTGTGCATGTGAAGTGCCAATCCAAGTCTGTTTATATGCATATTTCATGACATACAAACAGGTTCTAACTTTCCAATAAATTACTTCATCTGTCCAGCTTTTTCTCTGTGACCTGAGAACATCTGAAGAAAAAGGGTGAGAAGAATTACGTCAGATGTCTCCATCATCTCTTGCTATAAAACTGCGACATGAAAACTCATTTTGATACAAAAAAAGATGTGATGAAAAACACTGTATTTAATTTTCAGCAGACTTAATGCTAACAGCAGCTCACAGCTCACACCCAGCCAGATGTTCAGTGGAAAAAGTGAGATCAATCTTGCAAACTCATACCTGATAAAAATGTGGCCAGAACGTACTGATGGCAAGTTCTGCTTTCACCCATCCTTCTGTAACAACCCCTGAGACATTCCATATGGGATTGCCCTGTGGTCCTCCATTCACTTTCACGTAGACATTCAGAGAGCCAGGACTCGAGCGATCTCTGCTGGATAAGTAATAATGGAAGTCGATGCAGTGTGTGTCATTTTCCTTCAACGTGGGCAAAAGCAAGTGAGCTTTCTGCCCAGATGCCCGTCCAGAGCTGTTCACCATCATGAAGGAGCCTATACACAGACAAGGGAAGAAAGAAAGAATACAAAACATCCGCTGAGCTCTTTCAGTTAAAGCAGTTTCCTTAGAAAAGTCACTGATTCCTTTAGAAGCCAGAAACAAAACAGTTCCTCCTAAGAACTCAAACTAGCTATTTTATACCAGTTGTTAGGTAACAGAAAAGAAAGGAGATCTAAATTACAGGGTATAAATACAAATAGATTCATGGCCACTATAACACCTTAATTAGATAACTTTAAAAATAAAAATACGGCTTTGCTTTTATTGTTTTATAACATTGCAATAAAAAAGTCACTCTATAAAAAATCACATTTACCCTTCAAGAAGCCATGAGGCTCTCCTACCACGTACAGCCCCAGATATCTACTTTCCCAAAGGCACACTGAATACTAAAGACTATTTACAAAAGATCAGATTCTCAGCTGGCATTAGCCTGCATGGTCCCTACCAACTTTGTGCCAATCTATACCCAGGAACCCTGCATCTTGTGGTACAAGCTTTGGAAAGTGGCAAGGTGTTAAGAAAACCTGGTGTTCAGAACCTGGATGAATTAGGCTTGTTAGCACAACAACATCTCAACTAGCAATACAGCAACAAGGACAATTACACTTCTAAGAGGGAAGGACTGGCTGAATTTTAGGAGGAAAATCTATACTAAGGCAATTTCTGAGTTTGTTAACCCTGAAGCTTGCATCATATTAACCATGGCACTGGATGTTGAACTCATGTTTTGATTCATCAAGCAGTTATTTTACAGCACATCGTGTCTCAACTCATCTCCTTACAGATGCATCAAGGTGACAAATGTTAGCAATAAGGAAAAACGTTATGAGAGTTATTTGATTCAATTCTGTTTAAGGGATCTGCTTTATGTGTGCACAGACGTTCACAGAAAAAGCTGAAGAAAATACCAAGATCCAGGGGGAAAAATCTATGTGTCAGCAGCAAGGCATAATAATTTTTAATCAAACGCAGCCTTCTTGACATTCAGAGTCCTGCTGCAGCTGCCAAGTCATGCTACAAATGTATTTCTCTACTGGTCTCTTGCAGTTCACAGAACATTGCATTTGAAAAGCCTTGCCTCACTTCTAACCTATCGACTTCCTCAGTTCCATGCCATAGCAGTTTGACAGGCACTCAGATGAGCCAGGTAAACATTTGGATCAATTCTGTCCAGTGGACAGCCATACATTTTAGTTTTTTGGTGGTTTTTTTTTTTAAGTCAACAGATACCAGGAATTTTCTCACAACTGCTTTTGGTGGGTTGTTCTTCTTGTTGTTTTTGATTTTGTTTTTCTGTTTATGTGATATATATATACACATTTTGTAAAGGACTGCAAGGCATGGATGCAGAAGAAAGTGGATATTTTGTAAGAAATCACACACACACTCCAGAGACCTTGGAAAAGTCAAGCACAGTGCAAGCAGAGCTGGGGAAGAAGATTTACAAGAAGAAATGCTACAGTCAAGGTGCTCTCTGGCAATCCAATCTTTCATTTGGATAGCTTGAAAATCCCAATGGCCCCAAATCAAGAAATTCCAGATTCACTGCAAAGAGCTCAAGAAACAGAAGAGCTGAGTCCAAACTTTTAATTTTTTCTCTAATAATCAAAGTCCGTAAGGTGAGACAAATGTTCTCTGTTGATATACTCCTGCTCTCAGTCAACCACAAAATCCCCTTCGTCAAATGGGAGATTTCAATGAGTGCTGCAGTAATCTTCTAAATAAACTAACCCTAAATAAACTAACATTGTGACAATCTGAGATTTGGGCTCAGACTTGATGACCTGGGATAATTTATTACCAGGAAGCAAAGTTACCAACAGGTTTGGCAAGGCAGCACAGCTGCTGCTTAAGGCAGCAAGGTGGAAATCCAACGGGCTGGTTTCTAAGTCTGACAACACATTCAATTCTATGACCTCTGTCTGTATGTGTAGACTGCCTTATCTTCCCATATAAATCAAATAAGAACACTAGTAAAATCTACTACTAAGAATCAGAGACAGAAGCCACTGTATAACTGCTGAATAACAGAAGGGTTTTGTTGTTGTTGTTTTAGCTGCTGCAAAATGCACTGCCTGCAGTGTTTCAGTGACATTTTGGGAAACAGTATGAAATCTGATGAAGGCAATTTTGCCAGATGTGAGATACAGGGGTGATGGTACAGCCAAAGAAAACATTCAGTAAAGAAAAGTAGAGATCGTTCATTTCTGTTCCATTTTTTATCAGCTCTTAGCACACATCATTCCACTTCTGCGTGTATTCCTCAACCTTTCACACTTCTGTATTTGGATAACAGATGGATCCCTGCCCTAAAGATCTACTCTGAAGCTGCACAATGCCTAACACAATTAGGTCCTGAACTGCAGTACATTAGGCAAGCTTTCAATGATAGATAGACTTAAGGAGGATTTCACTTCTCCAGATTCATGTATAAAAATAATGAGCATTGCTCTGGGAGAAAAACATCAACTTTTATAAAAAAGTTCAAAGCAATAATTACAATTTTGTTTTTTGACACCCACAAAAAAAATGAATCATATGCTATTTGCAGAACGACAATGGCCTTTTGTGCAACTGCTAGAGAGAGTACAGAGCCTGTACATAATGACTGACACAACGTGAGCCAGTAAAATATCCATCGACCAAAAAACACTTAGCAAAATAATTAGCCTTCGTAACTGGAAGAATAGCCTTACAAAAAATTTATTGCCATTTGCAAATTATTCACAGTCTTAGTTCTGATTTATGGATGCCTTAAAACCAAATAGCCACACCCCACATCATGCCTAGAGAAAATGCTGTAAAATTCAAACTGTCTCCAGTAAAGTCCTGAGGAGAGGTATTGCTTTACATGATAGTAAGAGTAGAGATAAAAAAATTCCACTTCTAGTGCTGCCTCTGCTGCAGAAAAGTGCTCCTATCCTTAACTGTGCCATCTGGTATCTCTGTCTGCCCTTACTTCCACAGAGACCTCAGATGGCAGCTGCCACAAAAAGCCCTTTTCGTCCCGGGTCAAGCTGGTGCACAACACACCAAGCCTGCCCTTAGGAGGGGATATTGTTAAACTAAAGCTTCACCCATGCCATAACTGATAGTGGGTACAAGAACATCTATCTCACAGAATCTCATTGTTGTGAATCATTTATACCCTGTACCACAAATTGCCCTCCATGATTCTCATTTTCCTTTTTGCACTGTGAACTTGAATGCAAATCCCATCCCCTACCCTCAAGAACCTTCCAAAGGTTGCTCTGTGTGCTCCTGGACCAGCAGCTGGGATGCACTGACTTGTGTCCGTGCCAGTGAAGCTTTTCTGGGCAGTACACATTGCTTACCAGTAGCTCTGAGATCACTACAACTGCTCCCAGCAGCAATAAATAAATAAATACATAAAGTTCAAAGCAGCCTTTTAAGGACAGGCCTATTTTGCCTTATTAGCCGTAATAAAAACTGACACATCGCGATTCAGAGTCTGACAGCCTTCTTTAGCATGAGCACAGAATTGAAGCTGATGGGACTTCTTTTGAATTTATAGGCCTGTACGTGCAAATAAAAGAGGTACAATCAGGTCTGGCACCAGCAAACCATTTGTCAAATTTCTCACTCATATAAAGCCCTAGGGAATGCATTAACATGTCACAAACGGAAATTATTGATCAATGAACGACTGAAAACCTACTTAAATTTCCCCTGGCATGAATTTGTATAAAACAAAAGATTCCTTGAAGAAACTCTGATTTAGACTGACTTTGAACAGTAATGACAGTAGAAAAAACACTGAGTGCTATTTTGTTTACCTCCATCTGGAAAGTTCACATGCCATCAGATAGACACTGAAATGGGAAAAGAAAGTTTGGAGAGAAGAAGTGATGTATTCTGTGTGGATGTTGTTGGGTATTTCTATTTTTGTTGGACACAGAAGTATATGCTCATTAATGCAGCTGAATATCAGGTCAATTAACTTTAGTGCTCTTGAACCAACAGGTTACATTAATTAATCTCTTGCTGGCTTTGCCACCTTCCTGAATAACTAAAACTGAATGTGCTGTGTTCAGATCAGTCAAAAGCACAGAGAAAAGAAAGATGGTAAATAAATTCATTTTTAAAAATCCATTCGAATGACAGTGAACATAAAAAGGCACTCTCTTACAGTTATTAAACATACCACTGAAAATTGGGGAATTAAACCATGAAGTGCTCTCTAGCTGGCCATAAATTTCAATTTTTCCCCTGCTTGGTGCATAATGATGCCTTGATAAGCTTCCTATCATTGATGCATCTGCAACATATACCCTCTTTTTGAACTGAAATGCTGCTCTGTAGCAGATGGTGGCTATTGTGTTTACACATCAGCACTTTATGATTGCATTTTCTCACGTCTGCAGTAAAAAGAAAGCCGTAATTGAGTTTTTAATGGCTTTGCACATTGTTCATTAAGATTACATGAGTGTGTTCTGACAAATGACAGCTGAAGAAACGAGCCACTGAGAACCCCTCACGATCACCAGACAGACCTCAGCTGATGCTCTTTCACTGCTGCCTTTGAAGAACTGAGCTGTTTAAAAGTAAAATTACAGCAACCATTAAAGACTGAATGTAAACTTGAAAAGAAAACTGTCAAAATGCTCAACTGCAAAAAGAGCCTTCTTAAACCCTAAGAACCCAAATCAAGTACAGAACTTTTTTTTACACAGCAAACTCCTCCTCTCAGTACATCAATCTGCTTTCCAGCAGCTCCATCACAGCAGAGGCATTTTTTTTTCAGTCACAATGCTGCTAGTTTCCAAAGAACAACTCTACCCTGAAAAAGAAAGGGCCTGACATCTGATCCTGTTAGCATGGAACGAAGCAAGCTGGAATAATTTCAGTTGGAAGGGGCCTTAGGTCATACCTGTTCCAATTCCATGCTCAGAGCAGGGTCATCTCTTTTCCCACTGACTCTAAATCCTCCCAGATGGCCCAGTCCCTCTGGGTAACCTGCTCCCGTACT